CCCCAAAACCCCAAAACCCCAAAACCCCTTTTTTATATAAAAATATTGAAAATCTTAGCCCCGCATATATTTTTAAATCATGAAATCATACTATGAGAAAAATATTGAGGATTATTCGGTATCGTTATTACACAACATGTGTTTTCCAAAGCCGCTATCTCAACACCAAACAGCTCCAATTCTTTTTAAATTCTACAGATCCAGAGCAGTTTTCACATGAAATAAGAGCCAGGCAAAAGACAGAAAAAGGTAAGATTCTCAAGATTATACTATGAACGAAATTGGTATAGTCAACTTTATTTAAAATTATGGGAAATCAAATTTAAAGGCACCCTCCAAAGAAGGATTAATATCTCTTTCTTTGAGTCTTGCCTCCCTCAGACTGACAACTTTTGAATATAGGATGAATTTCTTGATGCCTACTAGATCAGTCCGCTCAATAATGATTAGAATTCCATTCCAAAAGAGTCACCTAAATTGGATCTTATCGAATAGCACTGAAGGAAGACTCAACTAATTTTGGGAGACTAAATCTTGATAATTTTAATAACATCCAAATTTCAAAATTTAAGCTTTTCTCACAATCAAAGCCTATAAAAATGTTTGGAGAAAGACAAATCATGGATCTTATAGGAAGATGAACTACAAAACTTTCATTGTTAGGCTACATCTTAGATTCAAAAAGGTTCAAGAAAATCATCACTGTTGCGAGCTCAGTTGAGACAATCTATTTCAAATACTGCGAAATTGGGTGGGATTGAGTCTACAGTGATCATAACCCTAATAAGTATACCAAACACATAATCTTTGAGACAATGACGCAAAATGAAAAGTGAATGCATAAATTTGAAGTACTTTCAAGCCTCCTCCAATTTCTCAATACAAAATGCTATTCCATTAAAAACATCGCTTTTAATTACTCCCACTAGCAGCTGATACTAGCATCTATCAAATCTGCCTTCCATCTTGAGGATGGAAGGTCTCTCAAAAGAGTGATAAAACAGATCTTGTATTTTCCAAGACTTCTACAGAAGTCAAAGATGCTGACCACCAAAGATGTATTGTACAGTAAGACTTTAACCCATGCAGAGTTGAAGATGCATGGGAATTACACATTGAGCTGACTAGAATCCTCTATTGGAGCCTTAATAACAGTCTATATCTTTTAAACATTCAGCTCCAATTTCATTTATCTTTTCAGTCTCTTAAACCAATTATGGGGTTTTGGGGTTTTGGGGTTTTGGGG